AGTTTGCCAGTGTGAATATTTAAAGTGATGAACGCTGGGAGACAGCTGTTGTGGTCCCGGGTCGACTGCGTGCTGTCTAGATATCTGGGCGGCAATGGACTAGCCGGTCGCCTTCGATGGCCGAGTCACAGAAGCTCGTCACTTGTATCTATTGATCGGTGGGACAGAAACTCGGGTTTCAGTATCTAGTGAGAACCTAACGTTAGAATGCAATCACACTCACGGATCAATCGGCAATCCTGAGACACATTGCTAGCCAGTATGGCCGCTATTCACTGCAGGCAGTAGTATTTGCCGCCCCTCAAGAAAATGGCTGTCAGTCTCGACGAGTAGCTGGTTCGGGCCCTCGGTGCAACCAACAAAGACCGCTGGTAGAGTTTTCTGGCATGTTAGATTCACTCCAAGGCAGCGCTCACCGGTCGTGGGCAGTGTCGTACATCTGTACCATGGCTTGAGTAAGCCGATACGGAAGGTGGGCTCGGACACTCTTCTTAAAAGATAGTTGGCAGTGGATGGAAAAACAGTGTCGGGGTCTCTCTAGCATTTTCCTGGGTATTCACCGTGGCGATTGCGCGGTGACGTATCGGGGATGGTGTACACCGCATTGCCGACACGGATGACAGTTTCGTCCCCCACGCAGGCCGTTCGCTCCCAGGACGAAGTCTCAAGCAGCACAATAGTGTGGTTTGAAAATAACATGGCAAGGAATTCAACTGAACTGAGTTACCTGTCCCCCAATCCTTACTGGCAGGGCCTAATGGGGACCAAATGTGAATTGATCGGTGGCTAGGTTCTGTGTCGGCAAAAGGGTGCCTCGCTAGTCGCTGATGGGGTCATTCCTCCCGGGTTGATAGCGAAAGCCAAATAGCATCCTTGAGCTGGTCCCACGACCCCCTAAGGGCAGGATTTGGGACTAAGACAAAACCGAGTAAAGTGATTTGCTAGGGATAACCTCAGGAACTTTGTAGAACCCTCAGCGTTAGCCTAGGATATTTTGTGCTCCAAGCTCTAGCTCTAAGAGCACAAACCGAACCTCCCGGTCATGGGAAGCAGGTACAACACTCGTGAATCTGTTGGCAGTTAGTTAGTCAAAGTTCGAAGTGCCGTTGACAGTTGTCCTGCCTTTGTGCTAACATTGCACTCTGTTTGAATACTGTAATTCTTCGGCGTTCCTCTTTGGCTGTAGTACTTAATTAGCTTTTTCTATTTTTTGACTAACTATGCCACCTTTTCTCGACGGAGATTGTTCTCCACCCAAAACTCTCGCGCGGGTGGAAAACTTTTGTCAGCCTACTCATGCTACCCTTGAGATCGGTTTTCATCAGCTCCGGAATGTAGTAAGCGCCGGACCATCTCCGGCCCCATATCACCGAGGTTTAGCTTCAATATTCCGTTACACCAAAAGAATCTTGACAGGAATAACCAAACTCAGTTATTCTACTGCTTGAAAACACTTTTCCTCAGGGGTGGCACATTGCTTATATGCTGCGAGTCATTTTGGGCTCGCTATGGACCCACTCTACAACATGTGGATTTATTGAAGCCTCGGATAAGTTAACTGTGGAGCACAGACCTCAATGGATTCCTAGCAAACTTGCCCCCGCCCTCCTGCGCTAATAAGGGGAACTGAAGTCCTCGGTACCTTGGAAGTTTAGCGGAGATTAGTTCTCTGACCTGAGAAGGCCTAGGAGCCTATTATCCTCTGAGGACCGAGAAAACAAGATCTCATAAAAGTGCTGCACAATTAGATGGGTAACTCCTAGTTACAGCATGCGCAAAATTGCTCGGATTTTCAGTACCGCCGTCAATCGGTTCCCGTCTGCTTCGCGCCCCTTCTCTCCCAAATATTCTTTCCTCAGGATGAACTCATGTGCCTAGGGGTACAGGGAAGTAGGTTGATCTCGGCGTTTGGATGAATCTTATACGAGAATCGCATTGGCAGCCGAAGGCAAACAGCGGCAAACAGAGCGGACAAAAGCTGGCTCGACTTGCCGGCGGTTTAAAACTGTTATGCAAAACCATGCAACTGCTCAGAACTGAAGGCAGTGAGCAGAAATCTGAGATGGAAAGTACGAGTTGAGTGGAGGCATGACTGAGGAAATATGACGTAGACAGGTCACTGAATAACCTGATGATTCCAATCTGTTCAAGACGAAGACCGGACAGGGAAATTTGGGCCAGTGTGATGAAGTAGTAAGCACAATAGCTTGATGTATTCAACGACTACCAACAAAAGAACCGAGGGTGGGGCTGGGATGAAGGGCAGAATAAGTGTTCTTCAAGAGGTAGGTAAGTCTGATGAATATACTTGAAAAGTGAAAGGGCATATAGAGGGAAATTCTGAAGGCAGAATAAATGGTAAGTTCGGACTGCAGATCAGCTACTCCAGCTGATCACCCGGAGCGCCATTTGCAGTTTTGAATCAAGTTGATTCACTTTGAGGCCCAGTGCACAAAGGACGTTTGCTTTTTTCTCGCACATGCATTGGTGGCAATTTGATAGTCTCACAAGTCCTATGGAACATGGAATCGAGCATGTCGGGCAATTCGGTAGGCCCAGTTTGATTACTGACCCAGTCCCCATTTTCATCTCTCATGGATTCTGTAATAGGTGAAGAGTGTTGCTTTCATACTTCTAGTTCGCTAAAGCCAAACCAGCGAATAACACGACGAAGTGTAGCAGACAATCTATGGGACAGAAGGGAACCACCGACAGCCTTGCAAACTCGTGGAAGAGGTGTTTGTAGCTGCGAGTGAATGGCTGATCCGGCTGACGGTCCACGAAACACAACTGTTCTGGTTAAACGGTCCGCAGGTAACAGTTCCTCGTAATTAGTTTCCGTGGACATGCCAGATGTGTTCCGCTTTCGTTAGCGGACCGGTAACTTTGCAATATAAATACACCGGAACAAATCTTTCGGGAGAGCTTGCACGCCGGCCAACCTAATCAACGAAGGCCGTGAACCAGCGAGCCGGTTGGTTTCGTTGCAATCCGCTCACTATCTTTGCGCTGAACGCACTGAAGAACCTGGGCACGATGCATGTGAACCAGCTGTTAACGGAAGGTGACCCTTTTGATCAACGATTCGATTAGATAGCAAAGCGAAAAGTTGGCCGGCACCATGAGATGCATCAGCACATAGATAGAGGATGGGGTCAGAAATAGCGAAGACTAAGTACTCCGAATACCAAAGTTGCTGGCCTTTATACAAAGAGCGGACACTAGACAAACCTCAACGTTCACCATGAAAAAATAGCTGGTGGCCATCAATAGCCGATAAGGAGTACCACTGGGGGAATATACCATCAAAATCAGATACTGGTAAGAAATGCACCTGAACGGGAAGGTTGACTCATAGCTGAGTAACTCTGGTTCTCGCTCAGTCTAAACTGAGGTAGATACCAGGGTGGCACGCGAAAAAGAACAAACATTGTCACTTGAATTGCAAGATGAGCGGAGATCTGACAAAAGGTAGACAACAACGTGTTTGTTGATTGGAGGCACAAAAGCGGAGGTTTCTTCAATAGGTTTGGATAGGGTCTTGTGTAACTGAAGGTCGCTCTGAGAGATGTTATGATATAAATCAATAAACAATAATTGTCCGTCTGAAAGCGAGCTTTCGATATAGAACAAACTGATCGCCGGGATCGATTGAATCAGACAATAAGCCGTGATAAATTTGAGCGTGCAAAAACTGGCCACCAAAGCACAACGGCCTTCAGGGACCAAGGTGGGCACTCAGCCGATATTCTGCTGTTTTTTCATGAATGGACTCGCTACGCTGACCTCAGCTTTGCCAAAAGAGACTCCAGCATGCGCTGCTATCAGGGCTGCACAACTGTTTGCTCCATCTCCATACACAGCGACAAAATAGCCAGCAGATTGCAAAACCTCGACCGGCTGCATTTGTTCATCCGGAGAGAGAAGAGCAAACACCGTTCCCTTAATACGAGCTTCAGAATGAGCCATAAATATTGCTCCCCGGTGATGGCCCACGTTTTGCCTAAGATATCCAGGCGAAAATCTGGACGGTCGATCATGCAACTATTGATCCAGTGACAGGTGGCTGATGAGGCCGTTTTTGACTTCGATTTCGGTGAGAGTGAGTCACACAGACTGTTTGAGGCAAGTTCGCCGACGCCAGGCAACCGATAGTCTTGCGGCCGCTCGACCGGCATGGTCCCGTAAAAGGTTGTGAAGGCAGTGATTTCCTTTGGAGATTGAAATAGAGAGTGTCCCTTCGGCACCTCGAGGCGCAAATCTCGAGCAGCATTCACATTCTTAGCTGTACCCTTAACACGGAGTTTATGAAAACCTTCCGCCTAATGAAAATGAACCAGTGGCACACTATAGACAGTCGGCTGACAATAACACTCTCCAGAAGCAGTGCCCAAAGGGGTGGGGGGAGGAGGGTTGTAGTGGGGCCCATATTGGGGGATACGGGACGTCTGTGACTCGCCCAACTCGCATCATCATAAGTTGAGGCAAAGGTAAGATCAGTAGGACTGCCATCTGGAGTTTTCAACGGCTCCAGAGGTGGCTACGTGAACTCCGTCACGATTAGATCCAGTTCGTCAGTCATTTCACAGTCACGTGCTACAGAAATCATAGTGAGCTTATAGTCTCCGGTAACCATTACTGGTCGAATACTTGCATTCTCCAGAACCTGGAAGACTGCTGCTCAATCACCCAGAGCTCCAGAAAAACCAAATCTGGTTCCACTCGATTGCGATGTTTTTAGTATAAGAGTGTAGAAGAATTTTAGAGGACTCCACTTTCTCTCTCTCTCTCTCTCTCTCTCTCTCTCTCTCTCTCTCTTCTTTCTACAAAACCGTGTGAAAACGTGAGGGAATTTTAGAACGATGACACTGGGGCTCGACTGCCTCCGAAGAGCCTTTGCTGTAAACGTTGAAGTGAAACCTCTCCAGTACTCAGGCGGTTATAGGTAGGCGTTGGGCACTGGATATGAACGGAAATTGGGGAGGGTCGAAGTTCTATACATGCTACTGAAAACAAAAGCGGTAGTTAGATTTCGACACCTGGCGAAGAAACGCTCAGGATTATGTACTTCAGATGATGATGACCAATATCCGGATTTGCTGATCGAATTCCAAAAATGGTTCATTTTAGCTCAGAGTGATCACGGAAAGCTACTGCCATACTTCTATTGCACTGTTAGTGATACATCAGCCAATATGGATGCGCCCACTTCCAGTAAACTGGTCGTGTTGGTCAATCTTGAAAATTTTGCCCGGAAAATCCGAGTGGAACGCAATTCAGGCAATATTCGCTCGGCATAATATCATCCACTGGTACGGCTTTTATTGCTAACCTCATTTGGTTCAATAGTCTGTGTTCACAAAGGTCTCCCGAATTTGTGAGTAGTTGGAGGATCTCATTCCCTTGTAACCACCAGCAACACTTCATGGATTGCGATGATTCATCGATTTTCACTTCCCAGCAGCAGCCTAACTTGAATATCAAAACAAAAATCAGGAATAAGAATAGAGTAAAATTATGAACAACGGTATCGTTTTGGCTGTCAGTGTGTGCAAATACCAGTGCTACTTCTCATGTCACATAGACACATCTTCCTGCTTGCGATCTCTAATTGGGTGGACCCCGTGGTTGAGTAACCCACTAAGGGAAAACCGATAAGCTCTAGTGGCTGAGTGCACTGGCTTAGCTCTGATTACTCCCTTCCATGCTACGGGATGATGACTTAGTGGCAGTTAAAATAGCCTTTGTCAAGTGGTGTGCTATTATTTGCCGAACCTACCAAAACTCTCGGGTTTCGACCTGTCAGGAGATACAGTATCTGACTTATCATCCTTGTGAACCAAAAAGTACTTGCCCGCGCGACCGAGCACCCTCAAAAGACCAACATGCGTTGACATCGTTACGAATGAAAACGAATGGTGACGCGTGTAAACCTATGTGTAAATAAACTTGTGTAGGTAAAGCGCGACTGAGGGCTGGGAATAGATGGAACATGCGGTCTCTAAGTTTTTAATTAACCCGGAGTGTCAACCGTGCTTGGTTGAACATGCTCACCTGGAATGCAAATAATGATACAGAACACAAGTTCAGCCGACTTTCTGTGGAGATTATCTTTGACTGGCGATCGAAGGCCCAGGAGAAAGAGTGGCAGGTTGTGACTTCCACTTTGGGGATTTGGCTGTCATTTTAGTGCTGCTTCCAGCTTACCATGTAGACATTTTGCCATGGCGGAAGACGGTATGCATTTGTCGTGCCATGTTCACAGTAAATATGAATTACGCGGCGAAACAGACTAAACAGGAAAACCCAGATCCTTAACCCGCCTCGGTCTAAGCGAAACAGTCAGCATGTCCCAAGGCCGCAATCAGATGCCTCACGCCAACAAAAGATCGTCGTAAATTGTTACGTATAAAAATGCTCGGCAGGTAAGTTCCATGTAGTCAAATCCACGAAACACATGAAAACTTTGGGGAGATTATCAATATATATCCTTTACACCACCGGCCAAAACTCTTCCACGAAAATAGCTGCTAGAGCTTCAGGATTGGGTAGCGATTCTGATCATACCAACATATAACCTACCTCCAGTGCCTGATTTTACCGTTGTCCTGCGTCGACTGCGTTGGCCGCATCCGCTGCATTTTGAGGGTCCATTGTAGTGATAATTTTCACAACCGGAAGCTTTCAGCTCCAAATTCGGCTGCGAACTTCGAGACTGGTTTTCCCAAGGATATACTTGCACGCACTCAGACACGGTCAGAAGTAGGTGCTCCAGGACATGGCCTTTTTTCGCGAGTTTCGGTTGCCCACTGCAAGCTGAAAAATAACTACTTTGACAACAGGTTGGGACAAGTTTGCTTGCGGGTTAGGTGGAGAACTAAACGGGAATACAAAGAGCGAACTCGATCGCTAGTTTCGGCAAAAAGCAAAACAGCTTTATGAAGCCGAAAACCGCTAATATAAAGTCACCTCACTCCGACGGCAAGCAGGCCACCGTCCGGCAGTAGTAAAATCTCTTAAAGGACAGGTCACGTTCAGGTAAAGGATTGCAACGCATCGAGCGTGACATGGAGGCAACTGCAAGTAGACGTTCGAGGCGGCAAATTCATAACCTGGAGAAAAACATTCTAAACGTTGGTGGAGTTAGGAGCGATAAAAACCGTAGGCACGTGGCTGAGGTTCTCAGGATGGCAGGCTCACCTCCTCTAGCACCGTCAGTAAAGTGCCAAAGAATAGGATTATGGTGGGGAAAGTGACCAGCGCCGCCGCGACCCACTTGAGAATTTTTCACAGCGCTCACACGGAGGATATGTTGCTGTCCATAGCTTGAGATGTACAGGCCGACAATCAGGATAAAACGCTCGGTACATTTTATGACCCCACATTTTTCAAAACGGCCTTCACCGATATTCCGCGGATTGAAAATTTTTTAGCCCCATGCAGCTTGCTCTATAAATAACAGAAAAATAGAAGTTCCCTCACAGTCTAATAACAACAACAATAGTAGTAATAATAGTGACACTAATTAAAATGATAATAATATAGGTATATTTCGGATGAGCCCGAGGCATGTTGTAGTGCACGGTCAAGTTACACATGTGATGACAGAATTAGAGTTTGCTGGAGGACAAAATAAGTGCAGACGAAGGATTATAGGAGAAAGTTGAAATGGACCTTCAGGATAACAAATCCCGGCAAGTTTAAAACTCAACGTCAAAATGGCCGGTTTGGCTATCGCCGAGTGAAGTTGGTTGAAAGTGTGGAGCACATACTTGAACGGTACCGGGAAAGTGGAACACAATCGGAGGATATTTTGTCGATCGTTATAAAAAGAGGACTTCAGCAAGCGAAGTATAATTGGTCACTTGCACGGTGAAGAATGTGAAAGACAGACGGATGAAGGAATTCGGCGATATACTAGAATAGAACATCAAGGGAAAGCTTTTGACGAGTCGTCTACTTCATAATATGTACGTCAAGCTGTATTAGCAAGGAGATTTATCAGCCAACTGAGATGGCGGTATAAGGTGCTGACCGGGTACTGGCGGAGTCAAATATGAGGCGGACAGGTGATGCATCAAGAGAGAGACTACCAAAGCGGTGATGATAGGAAAAGGCCGGAGCAAAAGGTTCGGCCCAGTTTAGTTCCGTTTGCACAGGAGAGGTAACAGCCACGGCCAATCGAGTGTCCAGGATTTTTTCAATGGAATGCAAAACAGGTTTGCACCCACTACTGCGCGGAGTACTTTGTCGAATCACAGCTAAATACGAGAGGGATAAGGAAAACTTCATCGAAAATCAGCTGCGAGAGACATTGCGCACCTTGAGCGATCATCGAAAAGTAATCAACAAACGAAAACTTCGAATAAAACACACCTCAGAAGGACCACAGTGCCACCAGTCATCCATTTGGTCAATATACTCAAAGCGCGCTACGGGGGAACATCTCGTACCACTTACGATCTGAGGCACCTTTGGAGGACTGGACGGTTTGCGGGCCTATCATTCCACCAGGCACACCGTTTCTACCGTTCGATACCCAGTTGCTAGAGAAGTGCGATTTAGTCATCAAACTGGCTCGAACTTTCATCAGTTTTTTGTCATGTCCCCTTGTTCTGCAATCCAAAGCCACCTGGAATAGATTATCCGGCCCAATGCCAGAAAAGCTTGTCAGTGCTGTTGAACACTTCTGTGCGATGCCGTCGACGTCTCCCCCTTTCCAACGAGAAAAGATTCAGATCACAAAGTCTCGGTTTGTACCTCTTACTCCTCTTCAAACCTTCAAACTTTTGCGTCGCGGGATGCTGGACTTTCTCTAAGCGGGCGGCGTACTTCTTGTAGTATTGTGACCAAGCCTGCGCGCTTCCCTTCAAAAGAGGCCGTACTATAATCATGTAAATAGGTACAAAATTGTTTGGCTGCCAGCAAGACAATACTGACCATTATATAAAGAGCTCGCAACGAGCCTTTTGTGCACCAGCGTTGCACCGGTTATACCGTTGCGAGTCACTGCCGATGATGACCCCGGGGTCCTTAACCCGACTGACTGCTACTGTTGTGAATAGCCCTTGGTCATGGGTGACAGTTAGGTTTTCTGTTGACCTTGACAACAGATGGCTTTTTCCAACATTCAGGAGTAAGTCTTACTTGTATGCTCAGTCAACGACGGTTCTTACATGCCTGCCTAAGTCCACCCTCCCCTCAGATCCTACAATCTCCACGCCATCCGCATAAATAAAACTGGGCCACTAAAGGGCGGACAGTGGACAGCTGAATTTATAAAGGGTGGGTAGAGAAATGTCAAAGGGGAAGTGTAAGATAAGTCAGTGTGGGTTGCGCAACTACGGTGATTACATAGGAGTTGAGTCTTTTCAAGAGATGATAGAGAAGATGATTAGTAAGTGTGCGTCCGTAGATGAAAGCTGTGTCATGTGAACCACGTGACATTAACAGATGAATAAAGCTCTTTAACATGTACCGGGGAAGGCGACGGTTGATCGACGGCCATAGACTAAAATACTTCAGCCGGCAATGATAGTAATAGAATTTGGGGGTTGGATACAGTCATTTACGGTTGTTTCACTCGAGTGACCCCTCTGGAGGGGGAGGAAGACTGACGGATTGATGACAAAAGGGAAGTTATGATGTAGTAGTTGGATCGTAAGTGAGCAACTTTTATTGATTATTTTGACTGGTGTGACGTTTAATGTTGACGAAGCGGTGAAGCTGCATGAGAAATAATAATAATGGTTCATTTCAGGGTTGTTGAAAGCATGCTTGGTTGAACGATCATGTGGTCTAGGTGAGGTCACAATAGGGATTCTTAGAAACTCATTTGGGAATACGCAGCATGGGAGAGTGTAGAGGTTTCGGTGGACACATGTGTGAGTATTCGACAAAATTGAATTTGAAGGTTGGGCGGACACAGCCCGATAGTGGTTAAATAGACTTCGTGATCAAGACGCTCACTCAAGTGAGGCGATGAGAGAAAAAAATTGCTCAAGAATTCGGATAGTATGGACATAATTTCGCAAAGGAGAGTATGCTGAAGGACAAACTTTCCGAAAAAGCACTGACGAAAAATTCGAAAAAATAATGGTAATGACCGATATGCACTTGGGCCAATAGTTCTAATGACCCGAAAAACAGCAGAAGTGTGATACCAAAGGAGCTGCGCTGTGTCCTCTAGGGAAAGAAATGGTGTGTACGAAACAAAAGGTCCGGTTTACCACTACATTGGTACTTGATATCCAGCGAGAGGCGGAGGGTGCGCTTCGCCAGTCTGGTTGCTCCCGCACCTCAATGAAGACTTCCTGTTCACTCGAGGTACGTTGGCCAAAGCGGAGAAAATGACCTCATCCGGCTCCGTTGGGATTATAATTAGTTATAACAATGCATATCATGCAGCAACCTAGGTCAGCGAAGGAGCTGGCCGTAACAAAAATAGGACATCGTAAAGAAAAACACTAAGTTTTAGGATTAAGCAACAAACGAAAAAGAAACAGAACGATTCTAGCGACATAGCGTCGTGAGGCTTTCTGTGAACTGTTAGAGAGAATAATAGGCATGTGTGAGAAACATTGGGTGCAAACGAATATGCGTAAGCCGATTAGGGATAACACTGAGCAGGGCTCAGTAGCGAGACCGTCACGTGCCCTCAATAGGGCTAGTGTTCAAGCCGTGGTGTGTAAAAGGCTGGAGTCCCAACAAGATTCGATGTTACGTGTTGATGGAAGAAAATCAGTTTGAAGTGTAGCAGTTTGATCACCAATTCGAGGAATTTAATCTCATATGAATAAATGAGGCTTCAAAAAAGAGGACGATTTTAGTAATCCATGGGGTTTCGGTGGCTGAGCTGGACTTCCCCGCAGAAGTCAGGCCTTAGAGTGTACACGAACAGAGTTCCAACAAGAATCGATAATACACGTATGATGAAAGAAAAACCACATGAATTGTTAAGATATCAGGGCAATATCCATAGCCCATCGGGGAACTATTCTTCCCAACGTGGAGACAAGCGCCGGAAGAAAAAATTCAAGAACACTGCAGATCATAGGGATAAAACCAGGGCCTCAGAAAGGCGAAGATTCTAACAAGCACTGTATTGAAGCTCAGTAGGCCTTAAGTATTAAGGTAAGCTCTAGGCAAAACCACTTCCAAGCACTTCGCAAGGGAGAAGGGTCCAAAAAGAATGGCAAACCCTGTCTTAGCCGATGTTATGGCAGGCCACAATCAGGCCCTTAAATATGAGGGGCATGCCTATTGCTCATATGAAGTCGAAAAGAGTAGTGACCGATGAAAGAGCAATCACTAACACCAGTGATGAAGCGTGTGACATCCAGAACATGACAGTGCAGACGTCCTCAGTGACAGAAAAAGAGGCTCCACCTCGGAGACTACCTGGAGAGCGAATAAGACGTAAAAAGAACAAAAGAAACAATGGAATCAGCCAATGAACCATCATTTTTGGAGTTCAAATGCCCGGAGCCTCCAGGGCAAACGGGGGCAGTGGCCTACTAGGATAGCAGAGTTCGACGTTGATGCCTCGACCGAAATGTGGATAAGGTCAGGGAATGAGAGTATCTTGATCCAGGGATAGGCTACTTTTGGGCAATATAAAAAAAGACAAAAGGCAATGGACGGGCTGCATTGCTAATATGGATGGGACGGGCTACTACAAAGCACTGTTTAACGTAGATTCTGCCAGCCTGCGGGCAAAACTGCATTTCATTAGGGTTACAGCTGAGATAACCTGCAAAATCTGCCTCTACAGGCACCTCTGGGGTTGGTGGACGGGGCAATAGAGCTTCTGAAGATGCTGCAAGCAGCGTTAGCACAGACAACAGAATAGTATTAGTGGGAGACTTAACCTGCCAAAACTCAACCGGATCAAATTGACCGCACCGCAGAGGACACACCAGGGATGACTCATTGCAGCGGCTTGAGATGCGAGCATTTAAGCAGCACAAAACTAAGGGTTTCACGTAGAGAAGGGAGCAACTTTTCTCCCCGCCTAACTCATTCTTTAAGCTGTATACAAGCGAAGTTACGAAAACTAAGTTGGAAGAGCCACTGAGCAAAAATAACCTTTAGGTTCCAACTTCCAAGTTATACCTAGCCTCGATATTGCGTCACACTTTACGTGGGTGCCATGGCGGAACCAATACCGACGGAATAAAGAGGACAGTAGGGTGAATACACTGGACACTGAGCCACGCAAACCCTTCCCGTGAAGAATGCTGGGGAATCATGAAGCAGAGATTCCTCCAAAGCGCGGAGGAATTTCTTCCTTTTCGGCTTGATAGCAGTAGGGATCGGATTTTCTGGTGGAAGGCCAAAGTTCGTAGAGCCACGTTCATCCGGAGAAAACCACGGGCAGCTCGCCAGTTGAACAAAACCAAACAAACATGGAAGAGCTGTAAGGTGGCCAGGAACTAAGCTGAAGTTATCCAACGGACGAAGGAATATTTTTTCGATCACTGGTCAACCCCATCGGTCCATACAAACCCTGAGTGGTTCTTTGCATACTTCCAATCTCAAAAGCGTATGAGTGAACCCGTAGCAACTTTGAGGGGGGAGGGGGGGGGTGCATGCGCTGCTTCCACTAAGCAAGGAGGGCAGGGTGGATATGTTCTTGCAATCTTTGGAATGCACAACAAGTAGTGTAGAAGGATGCGGAAAACACGGGCGCCTCCAATACACGAAGATGGGGTGCGCGCGGAGCTGCAACTTTTCAACTGAAACGAAGCCGCTGGGCCAGAGGTGATCCACCCAACCAGCATTTTGCTCTTGAGTGAGGTCTCAGAGGTTCCGGCGAAGCAACTGTGTTAAATATCACCTAAAAGGAAATGTACCGGCAGATGGTAGGCCGCAGTGGCAGGAGTGTACAAGGCCGGACCCGACAAAAGGCTGAAAATTACCTGCCCCCTATCTCGACTTCAGAACTGAGTAGGGGCTTGGAGCGAATGGCAGGGGAACAAATCTCTGGGCGTTTGGTTCGGTGCAGCCTTATCCATTGCGCCGTGAAGGGCCGTAGTGGGACAACTTTGTGTGACCAGGTGCCTAAACGAAGGTAAATTAATTGAGGCCCGTTACATGGCCTTCCGCAGGGCGTTTGATTCCGTGAACCGCGGGGTTTTGGACTTCCAGCTGTAGTCTATGTGAGTTGTTGGCGGGCGGGACAATGGATAAATAGCCTTCCAACGGGGCGAACATTTAGTGTTTATTTTGGATATTCATGTCTCAAAATCGGAGGGTGTAACTAGTGGGGTGGCACAGTGCTTGACACTTGGCCCATTTTCATCAACGATCTAGCAAGCAAACTTACTAAACTTTAATTTATTTTTGCCGATAATATCAAGACAGCTAGGGAAGATGTAGAATTTGACAGCATTCGTACAAAAATGGTGGCGCAAGTGGGACCTCTCGGTGAATCTCGCCAAATGCAGATATCTGACCACGAATACAGTGGCCAGGAGGAATGGCATGGAATCGGGACAAATGGTCTCATCCAAAGATTTCGGCGTGCGGCCGGATAACAATTTCTAGACATCGAAACAGTGAACCATGGCGGAAAATATAGCCCGAATAAAATTCTTTCCAGTTAGAACCACCATAACAAGCACAGGGTTACAGGTTTCCTTTCCGGTCCACAAAACCCCAGTCAGGTCGAACCCGGAGTACTGCGTGCAAGCTCCGGTGCCGTACCGTCAGAAGGTAACAGACCATCCAGCGAAGGCCCAGGGGTTAGCCGCTGGCATGCTAACTGGGGGAGGGGGACTAGCTACACAGAAAGTCTCCCAGCCCCAGATCTGTTCTCGATGGAAAGGTGGAGCTTTTGCAGGGACTGAATGGAACCCTTCAAGATAAAGAAGGATTGCTGTGTAATGATCAAGAATACATTTCCTCTCCAATCCCGGAGAGGGACTCGACGGGGCACAGCCTCAGGTTGCAGTGGAATACTCGAACCTGCAGCGCAGGGCGGACCACTTCTTGAATACAGTGATCCTTTTCTGGGACGAGCTTCGGAAGGAGGTCCCAAATACCACAGCAGTAGAGGCTTTTGATAAAGTAGCGGATTGGTTTTTGGCCACAGCATACCACGAAGTATGGTAGGTAGTTTTAGGGTCAAGGGATGTTTACTCAATCCTTTCCGCTTTTTTCGCTAGAGCTAATAATGAAAACATTCCCGCCTGTCAGAAAGAGGAAAATCTCGCTGTGTTGGAAGATACAGAAGCGCGCCGACAGCGCATTTATCTGGACAGGCAACTGGGTTTAGCCAAAACATTCTTATGAAGACTAGCCTGACCCGAGCTGAATATAAATGCGAAATTGAAACGATAAAGAAAACGCCCAAATAGCAAACGCGACCGGGCTTCGAACGGTTTTGGGCTGTGCTCGGCGCAAGCGAGCGGGCTGGAAGTGGACTTCGGCTAGGCTGGCGGGTTCCCGGCCAGGTTTTGACCGGGTCACCCAGCAGTAAACGGGCCGCAACCCGGACGGGCCTCGGCTGGGCTTGGAGAGGGCTCCAGCTGAGTTCGCTTATAGGTTTGTCGGATATGCCACCTTTACCGCTTCAAAAAGCCGAACGAATCCCAACCCAACGGTTCCAGTTTACAAATGGTCCTAGGTCCAGTCTACTTCCCAATCCATCATAAAAGTTGAAGAGGCCGACAAAAATGATGTCCACTTTATTGCCACGAAATTCAATTTAGACGATTGTTTCGATATTTACAGTATACATCTGCGTACTCGTTATTTTTCGGAAATCTTATTTTAAGTCCTGAAAGAGAACAAAGGTAAAACAAAAATATCGTGTAACCAGACAGCAGTTGAATGAGAGCGGCTTAAAATGGGGGTAGCAGTCACCTAACACTGAAGAACAATATGAATAACTAACTGCGACATACGAAGAAAACCAAATTTGCATCGGTCATACCAGCCTTTTTTTCTGACGACCGTGTGAGCCGTGAAACAATAAAAGGCAAGAGGCGCAAATTTACACACACTGACTTATTTGCTGTATGGCAGACAGCCGGGGAAGAGGTAGTAAAAGGGAAATATGTACGTGTATAAAACAGGCGATAATGACGTACTTCGTGTGCGAAAAGTACCTTCCACGCTTCCCGGGAGCTCCACGGTCCCCTACGTTTGCGAAACAACGCATAATGGTTCGGTCTATTTCGCACAATGGTTGGTTTCCCAGTCGCTCAGAGGAAGTGAATGCATCTACGGTGTATGAAAAGTATAATTGCGCTTACCTTTAATAGCGGAGATAAATCTAACATGCGATACGGTAATATTTTCTGACCTTCCCAGCAAGCAGCATCCCGGAGCCAAATCGTCGGCGATATGTGCTGATAGGATATGTCCAACCGGCACCGACCAGACTGTAGCGGCGGCCATCTTCGTTCATTCTTTTACCACGTTTATTGTTTAACTGAATGTTGACTGCCAAGCGCGGTTGTCATTTGGCCGTTGCTCTTGCGCACGCCCTCACGCACGTTCCCAAATACACGCTAACCACTATTTCTCCCAATCTCCTTCTCGTTCTCACGGGTCGTGAAGAATCTGGTTCTGGTTAAAATACTCGTACAGTGCCGAGCATTAGAGTAGCGTGCAAGTGGTCCCCGCAGTACAAAGGACCGAAGCACTCGTTTACCAAGGAAACCGCGAAGAAAGGTCTAATCAACCTTACGAGATCTAATGTTGGTAATGTTACCCTCAGCGAATCAGGTTATTGTAGTTCTGAAATATTTTGAGGGGCTCCTCAAACTCTGTCAAATATGCCGATGAGGACATCATACGCGCGTTGTAGTGGCACTAACCAGTTGAAGAGCTATTATTTGTGTGCTTCATTAGCAAGTTAAGGGTTTCCAGTACGGCCTGGACTTGCGCTCGATGGACGCTAACTCTAGTCCCATTTTGTGGAATCGGTCTGTATATAGTCTGCGGAATATGAAATTTTATTCCTCATCGTTCAGTTTGTTGAATTATTTTGATAGACTGCCATAAGCTGTGTTCCCTATCTGGAAACTGCCAGTATCTGTACTGTTATGAAATTGGTATGTCTATGGATAAGGACGAGTGACACCTTGATTTTCGGGAATGCGAAAGCGGAACTGAATTATCCGGACGCAAGATAGGAGTGAATGTCACGGGAGCAGGAGCTGAAGATGGACTAAGTGGTTAAGTTTCCATGACAATAAAAACAGATCACCCAGCCATCGGACTGGCAGGCAGCAGTATGCGCGCCGGTTTATCCGGTAAATCAATCGCATTTTTTCCTCTTTATTAATTCATCTGTAGGTTCATCAAAGGTGCCCTCCATGAAGCTGAATTGTTGCGGTACTCTACTGCGTAAAGAGAGCGAGAGAACAGGAAGCTCCTCCTTTTCGAGTATCTTTTGCAGGAGAAAGTCAGTGGCTGCGTCTCATCCGAAGTGAAAGACAATATGCCTTCCCGAACTAATTTCCGTTCACGCTCCAAGACAGTTAGTGAGTTATCTAAAATAAATTTTACACAGCATTACCCAATAAGCGCAACTGGTTCCCATGCTTCTTCTGATCGAAGGCATGTGCTACCATTAAACCAGCTTATGAAAGCGCCATGAAACGGTTTCATATCTCTCTTTGTGCTGCGATCATTGGTGTGAAACCGGTAGTTATGACGAACCTCTGGGTTGCACTGAATATATAGACGGCCAGACCGACAATCTTTTAAACTTTTGTCTCGTTGCTGACACTGGGAGTGTTATCGTCTTTGTTTTGTGGAACGCCATCGCAAGTAACATTTACCAGAGAATAACAATCGCATTTACTTTGCTTGCGTCAGTGTCTGCCTAAAGCACGGAGAATGATGCAGTGTTTATTCATCATTTCATAACTCAACAACGTCGCACTGCTGAATTTAGATTCGTGGATTTTATGGTGTACATAGAGACTTCATAGTTGACTAAAGCGTCTTGGTCGCCAATCCTTTCTGCTAAGACTACTAAGTCTGCTGCTGGCTTTTTTGTCTTGTAAAGAAACGATTTGTGTAGCAGTTAAAGAACTTTGTTTATCTTTCTTCACAATTTAGGCGACCCACCAATCTGGTCCATCTTCAGTACACTGATCTTGGCAGTTTTCTGCGAACGTTTGACCAGGTGCACTCATCTGTCACTTCAATATTCTATTCTCCAAATATTAGATCAAGCAGACCAATCACAAAACATCAATATCTGTTTCGGATTTCACAAAATCAGCTTTATGAACCACTTAAAATTGTAGGAAATCCGGAGAAATTTTGAAGGATTATCTTGGCAAGTCTGGTCTGTTGTAAGTCGTCGAATGCTCATCTGGAGGAATGCAATTTCCATTAGTTTCAGCAAATCTTTGTGAAAAAGAGAGATTTCCTTTAAGTTTCACTCTGGTAATAACAACAGGTAGCATCTAGTACCATGGCAGAAAAATCAGGAATCGAATAATCCACAAACAGGTCTACTCATATGCTTTGTCCAAATAAGTAGTCAACAAAGTCGATGGAGCATTTCACAAACAAGTCGAGTTGCAGTTTATGAACAATCAGGCAAAGAAGTTACCTCCCAAACAGTAAGAACAGCAACTTAGAGCGAAATTTTGAAGAATGCTTTCCTTTATTGAGAGAGGATGGTAGTATGAAGTGAATAAATGATAGATAAACCATACAATCTCACCGGGGTAAGAGATGACCGCCGTCGATTAGTCAAGCCATTGACTTCCCAGTCAATTTCCTCTGGTGAAGAACCTTACAACCGTGATTAATATTTTGTTAAAATTCTCTCATTTAAACTGAGATTGTTACCGTCTAATGCCCAACCTCTGATCTGGCATTTATCAAAGTTGCCGGCTGATATCCCGACACAACTAACTAATAAAATGTCTCGGACTCCTGTCGCACAATTATAAAAGTTCAATAAGTAGCAATAAACAATGGGGAGGAATCTGACGTTTATGTAGTCTTTATGAAGGTGCATTTGGAAAAATCATGTATGTGGGAATAACAAATTTAACAGGACAATTTGGGGATGTAGCGTGATTTAATGTAAGTTACGATAATTCATATTCCCGCTTACGAATGTGTAGTATATGTCTTTAACCTGATAAACCGTACTCAAGTGCTCACAGGACTTGAGCATGGCAACTACGGTCACAGAGGTTAAACCATCCACATTGCATAATTGATCAACTTACGTACTAGAAAAAGGCAATTGAATTTATATCGCTCATGTGACGTTGTTTTATAATGGGCTGATTTCTCTAAACGTTTAAACTGTGTATCATGAATACTTTCAAAAATAAACAAATGCCTTTTTCCCGCCTTTATAGGTTGTTTGTACCGCCGAACAAAACACTTGCAAATAATACCTTCTTTCCATGGTAGCAAGAAAAGGTACTTGACATTCGAACTGCAGATTTCCAGTTGCACAGAATTCATCTACCGTAACAAAAATTAACTTATATCTTCGTAGGATGGACATTGATTTTTGCGCGTTTCCAAAACTCATATGATTAACACTCAAATGCTTTGTTCTTTGATTTTCAAAAATAAACGGATATCCTCATTTTTGACCTAGCTATTGAGTCCGACTGCCTGTCGACCTAACATATCCGACAGACGTCAAGAAAATGCAAAGTTATTCCATGCCTCTTAGAACTTCCTAGTTTCAGCGGTTTGTCAATATTTGTAACCAGACATGCAGTTCAGTGGAGAATATGCTCACGAGCCCAAAAATTAGACGGTTCCAAGAGAGCCAACACTTGAGAATATAGGTCAGGAGAACCGTCCTGTGAGATTTCAACAAAAATATCATTCGGTTTTGAGTCAACCACGTGATGAGTAGTCGACAGAACAATGCGGCAGGCGTAAAAACAGAGACCGGTTAGTAGAATCCCCATAGCTTTGGTGTGATAAACTTTGGTTATACGCTTTGATCACGCAAATCACTCGCTTTGTCCCTTCAATGTCCCAATCAGCCGGTTCGTTCTCATTGTTACATGTTATTACTTATATGGCATTGAAAATATTTTGTCCGTTTCTTGGTCCACTCTGATAGTATCTTTTATTGGACTCAACTGTTGTTACACTGTGATCAGACCAGTTGCTCGAAGAATAAAGCAGTTATCCGGTCCCTGATGTAGACCTGCTGAAACAAAGCAGGCGCAACCAGTCGTGTTTGGGCCCAGACATTACATGGTCGAAAACGACAGGCCGGTTTGTGAGAATTGAGTATAAGATGTGTGACTGTCCATCATAATATCATCCCCTCGGTGCAGTGCAATGTGGATAATGATGACATTTCACGATATCCTGAAGATTAGGAATGTTCTTTTTGGGGAAGCTGCTTGTTCTCCTGACAGTTGTGCAAGTATCTTCCAGCTGAATAGTTTCACGTTGTAACGATAATTGATATACTTCGTGTCCTCTGCGATTCTTATAACAATTTTTCCCACTATCTTTAGGTTCGCGACAATTTATTTGGTCTTATTACCAAGTTTACATGCATGTTCCTCACGGACCACTTAGTTATTTGTGTAGTTCATGGATGAGTTATGATCTACAGATCGTAAAGTGGTAATGTGAGTCACAAACCTCGCAATTATGCATACATAAAAGATGAAGCAATGCAATTCTGTGTGTCGAGTAATTCGATTTTCATACTTTCCAGTTTTACTGTCTGTGGCAATATTTTAAAACATGAGAAAGTTCAGAAATAATTAGTGGAGCAAAAAACACAAATAACCGGTGGGTACTGTCATAAGTAGGCTGTCAACACCGTCGTCTTTTGAAAGAGATGTACCTTGATTTCGTGCAATCAGCCACAACTGTTTCTCGTCGGATGCTCTGGAGACCGAAGCGAACGCGTTTTCCATTCTCATTTCATACTCACGTCAACTGACCGTTCCTGAACTACGAAACTGAGTGAGCTTTGTCCAGTGCAAAATGGTCTCGACATTGGCCTCATCCAGGGAGCATCAGAGATAGAAGCCATCACCCAGAATATAGGTTGAATTTACCCAATTATTGCGATTCTGTCATCTTTATAAAATCTTAGCCCATAATTAGACACCACCAACCGAACACTGGCTCGTGAGCATCATTAGCTAAGCCGCAAATTCACATCGAGTATTTGATGAGTCGAAATTTAATCACCAAATTTCGTCTCTAGTGAAATCAATATGATAGAATGAATTCAGTGGTATTCCCCTATCATACAAGCCGGTATTTGGTGGCTTAATTTCATGGGCGCCATTGGTCAATATGTACCACCACAATCACTTTGGAAAGTGTGCGAATGATGAAACAAAGAAATTTCTCAAGCTGCCGATGTTATATGACATTTTTGTCTAGTTAGTTACACTTGAGGCCCTCGAATAGCTTTTATAAAGGGTGGAAATTAAATAAAAGTTTTCCTGGTATGAACGCGAAGTGAGTTGAAATATATATGTACGTTGTCCCATCCTGTGGACAAGACCTGACTTGATGGGAGGCTCTCGATTGGAGTGAATATGGACAGGTGCCACATTTCCCTTCGAAGCTGTCGGACATTGCTGACTGGCATAGAGGTTGATATCTTTACCAACATAAACTGGGTGACCCGGATTGGTCGGGAGCGGGCTGGTGTGGTGGTAACACATGCCTTTCATATGAAAGAGCCAGGGTTCCGTTTACGTCGGTAAAATGGAGCAGGAAGTGGGCGAACATCGTTGTTTTGCCCACATGTAAATGTGACCTCAAATACAACCTGTTCCTTCCAGTAAAGTCACCTTTCTGAACAACAAGCTTAATGTTTATACACCACTCTTCTGAAATGTTGTTCTGGTTCTTGTAGAAATTATAAACATGAGAATGATACAGTATATGCAGACGGTGATCAGTTGATGGCTACCCACGTTCAACTGACCTGTATTTTCCTCCTTGTTCTTTCCCTTCCTACCCCGAGCAAGGGTGTCAAAAGATCTCATGTATAACCATCTTTTTTCTGGATATTTCAACCGTTTCCTTTTTCATACCCAAGAAAACACAAGTCCTTTTATGGTCACCATGGCTCAAGTAATAGACGCATGTGAGTCTCGCGTCGTTTCAGATGTATGGATACACATTTCTGGCCAGCATCGGTAAAGAAACCTGTCAACAAATGTATAAGGATATCACCTGCTGTCTTATCCTTAGTGATACATTGAATGCTTCTCATTGTCACACCAGTTGCGGGAAAACTTTCATGGCCAGTGTTTAGTTCAGATACGGTTCCAGATTATATCCCATGTTTGTGTCGTATAACTTTGTTTTTTGATGATAGATGAATACGCAACTCACTCACCACCTGCTAGTACATAAGTACCAATAGGAAACAGACTTCAATGCTTTCCACTCGCTTTACCTGTGAATATTTATGTAATCCTCTCGAACTTTCTGTTCTTTTCAAGCTCTTATCATATTTTTGTTGAATAGCTCTATGGTGGGCTGACAGTAGACATACGCGAATATTACCAAGAAGCAATTAGTAACAAGTGCCTGTGTGCAATTCTCAGTTAGATACACCCATTCAATATTTGCAAATGTTTAGAGGAAACAGGCCTGTTCAAATCACTACCGTTTTTCTGTGAAACTCCTGTGAAAGTGTTTCACACAGATTCGCCAAATAGTTCCGGTAATTTTCTCAAGGCTCATTTCGTATCACGTTCACTTGGTACAAATGGACTTTATTAAGCTACTTTATCCAGTTTTAGATGTACTTCTCTTCTCGGGAAAATGACAACCAATTTCGTTGCTACAATACTGCCACAGTGAGAATCATGAAGAACAACATAAATAACTACGTCGCATTTAATTCAGCGCTTTATCTGAATTCAACTACCAACACTTTGTGCAAACTCGGAATTCATTATATCGGTTGTATCCGGGATCCAGTACTCTTTTCTTCGGTTATCCTTATGCTTGAGCACACCACAGTTGGATCACAGCTGTAATGTCATTTGAACCCGTCATATGCTTCTGAAGAATTTAGTCCTGTTATCCAGATGCAATGCAAAACTACGCACTTCAAAATCCCAAACCCGTCTATGCACATTTGTGGGTGTGTGAAATTGATCCTAGAATAGAGTGTTGAACTAGCTGCATACGCGTTCTCGCATTCGATCTTTCCTCATTCCCCGAACATCTGTCCCGTTTTGGCTCGTTTGTTGTTCATGTGTGATCGTATCGCTCATCAATGAACTACGGTTTTCATATCGTGTTATTTCTAACACAAAAGTTATCATCTCTGTGTTTCTCAGATCACTGATACATTGGTCTATACACAGAATCCATTAGCATAATTTTTTTTATCATTCTCTACCTTGTTTCATTCCCGTCGTGCACTCTACTTAATCCATCGTTCATGTTGCTCATTTGCTTAGACAATCTCCAATCTACTTCCTGTTCTGTGACTCTCATTGTCATTTCACACTGTCACCACCCAGTTGTAGTGATTAGTCGTCCCTTTCCACTCTTCTCAAATGGTTCATTATTGAACCTAATTCTCGATCCTGCATGCGTGCTCTCGCTGCTCCGTTTGGCGGTTGTTTTGATTTTCATTGTTTCATCTGTACATTGTGATCGGAATAACCACGAATTGAGATATGTATTGGATAAGGCTTGGCTTTGTTTACCGGATAGTTTACATTGATATCAGTTCAACTACGTCCACCGTGTACAAACATTTATTAAAAGTTGTCGAACACTACACTTCAAACGTTTTGAACTTCACATTTCAAAAAACTCTCATATGCACTCACTTCACCCCCATCGAAATGAATGTTTCAGTTAGATCACTTTTTTTATCCTCATCTATTATCATCTTGTTCGCATGGCGAAATATATAACTACCAAGTTTGAACTAAAGTAAAATTATTTGCCCGGTTTTAATTTTTACATCGTTGGTTGTCACGAATACCATAGCGCTTACGGACACATGCGTGGAGCAGGGCTGTAGTGCCGACTGTTCAACGTGATTTGAGTTTGAACAAAAAGGGAAATATTCTGAAGGTGAGCGCTTCATGGTTGATAGAATGTTTATCAGACGGTAAATCGGTTTGAGTTCACAAGATTCAATCTATATTACTGGTTAGACCAAAGGTCAGTTTTGAATGTCTCTTGAACGACCAACCATGATGGTATATGCAGCTCAACTATCCGTTTCGGGCAAAGTACCATGTGAAGTGTGAATGTCAGTCAGGCTTCCAGTCAAATCCTCTGCAGTTTATTGCATTTTTCCGGACAGTTCGTACAAAATAAGTTGTGCGAACACGAAGCCACATGTCATAATAACAGTTTCAACTTTGGTGCGGTGTTAGCATATAGCTAAACCGTAAAATCAAAATGCTATATCTTGATGGTTGATGTTCAAGTGTGAGAGTGTTACGAACTTGAATTATTTCTAGTTGGTTACACATATAAATAATTGTATGATAAAGCATTCAAAACTACGTTTGCAGAAATATGTATCATACTTCGTTGATTCTTATGTCACTGAAAAATACCATTAGCTCTGACTTCCACTGTACCACATTTCACCATTTACCACTCTCGATTTTGAGAACAAACATTTTCTGAGAGACGCATTTATGGTTTTATTGGACGAGTCATGGGTTATAAGGTGCAAAATAACAACCGCAATGTAAACGAAAAAACACATTTTAAAACATGTTTTGATCCGTGTCCTGAACGTCCCTAATCAGTCTCTCGATGCTATTTATCTCCTCTGATAGAGTCGTTTGGAAACGCTTCGGCAAAATCCAGTTCGAGAATGATAGTGTCAATTATCCGGATTGCCTTATGTGCCAAAGCTGTTGCAATTCGGATTGCTGATTGTAGGAAAGCTGCGGAAGTTGGCGGGAATGAAGCATTTTTCAAAAGAAGAATAAGAATCATCGAGTCAATATATTCATAACATATAACTGGCAAAACGATTATTGTACACGAATTGCTGTGGCCCAACGTGAAGATCTCCCAAGCTGGTTAACACTGCAAAACCTGAAACGCCCCAGTCAACATGGTTCACACATGTTCTCCTGCTGCATTACAAATAAAGTCTACAATAAATAAGCCTCCACGATACAAGCTTCATTTGTTACACCGAATATATTCTTGTCGTTAAAAAAATTATATGTTCTAAGTAACGGCTGGATATGTAAATTGAGTGATACCTACTAGCGATCCTCAGCTATAGGTTTTTCGCTGATGAACATATTTGCTGTTGCAGAATTCTCATTGTAGCTTGCTTTACACTATGGCGAGCTCTTCGATCGGCTCAGCTAGATTTTCTTCACCCAATCACTTTGAAATTTCGTGTTTTTTATATTTGCATGCATCCCCATCGTACTTGTTCTCCATCGGAAATGGGACTTCGAAAGAATCATAGCCGTTATGTACGGTTGCGGTTTGCACACATCGAATCTGGATCAAAACACTTCAATGAGCTGGATGGCAATCTGTTCCCACCAGCATCTTTTCTGCCAAGATGACTATGCCCTCCGTGACCAGTATGAACGCACGATAACTATTCTTAAAGATATCAAATCCAACACACACTATAAAAACTTGAAATCATGTTCACAGAAGTGTAGTTTATGTTCGAGGTTGATGGCTGAACGTGAATGATGACTCGTTGGTACGCGTAGATTGATTTCAGTGCTCCTGTCAGGATAGGTTACTGTGAACAAGAAATATGGGGCAGGGAGCAAAAAAAGTAAAATTATCTTAGAGACAAGTCAAATGTTATATTCATTACTCTTCAGAAGGTATTGACTACTTGGTTATTCCAATTTTTCCGAGGTTGTTTCGTTTAGGAGACACAAATAAAACTAGTACAACAAGTGAAATTACTACCGATAGGACAAGCATGTATGTAGCCCTCTTTTCTTAACAGTCAGAAACAAATTCCCTGATGAACGCAGTTATTCCTCTTCCGATTCGCTGAACTAATAACTGATATTCTTATTGCTATGTTCAACTTCTGTTGCCCAAACGGATAATGGCCTTTTCACTACTGAAGTTTCTGGAAAGGCAAATGGAACTCTCATACAAGTCTCGCAGAGGCTAAAACGTCAAGCACTTCTCTCACCTAATCAACATGGAGATGAAATGGCCAAATATGCTGAGGATCGAGAATCCCAAGTCTCTCTGGCGCATTTTAAAACTACTCTGTGCTCACGTAACCAAACCCCGCAACGATGAAACTGATATTGACTACCTCAAAACTAGTTCTGTACAGCTTCTCGTTATTGACCTCCATAGTATTGCCTCTGTGTCAGAACAGACTTCGTACCTTCTTCCACATTCAACACAGTTAAACATCTTTTCAGGTCTACAACTCCACAATGCAGGCCCGGATTGCCCCTCCCCTGTAAACATCTAGAATTGAATTGTTCAGTTTGAGGAGCCCATAACAACGCTTCTGAATGAATCCTTGTCAAACTGTTCATCCCCCGTTTTTAGAGACCGTTCACCATTATTCTGATTCCCAAGGGTCAAAACACAAACGGCAACAGTAAAATTGTCCGGTAGGGTATATTAAGTCATTTTCGATATGAGCAGCATGACATTGTATGTGGATTACAGGACAAAATTTCCCTGGAAGCACCCGACCACATTCGGGGTTTTTGCTGCTCACCGGGTATGCGTATCCGGTACTCTTCCGTCCAATCCTCCATATACTTGAGTACTCCACAGTTGGTGTACAGATTTAACCTCATTTGAATCGAATGGAGCGCGTATGGACGAATAGTCCAGTTTCGAAATCACAATGTGATTCTTCCAAAGTTAATTCACCCTCGTTCTAAAGGTTACCCGTGTTAACCGACGAATTAACTTTGGAAGAATCACCGTATGGTTCCAAAAATAGACCGTCCGCCGATGCACGCTCCATTCAATTTAAATGAATCTGCAGTTATATTTAGTCATCTTAGAACCCGACCAAACACACCCCCCGAATCGTGTCCTCAAACAGATCGGTCGTCTTTTCCCATTGTTACTTTAGTATTGATATTATTATTATCCCGTTCAATTGGTTTCAGCAATCCTTCCAATTTTTCATCAGTTTGATATTATAGATTGTCCCCACAACTTCTTGCTCATTTTTCCAACGTTTTTCATATTTAAATGCAAAAAACCGAGTCGGGTACAAATATTCCAAACCTCAAGCCAACAACTCTGGAGTCATCTATGATGAATTAGTTTTGTTCCTTCTCAATAAACTCGTATAGCAATGAACCAGCGGAATCCCGCTCTGTCCGGTTTATTTGAATACGCTGATGATGTTTTTCATAGTCAAGTTTTTCTAAAACCTCAAGTTCAGAATCTTTACTAGATAAATGTCTTCAAAGGAACATTCTCCCATACGATCTGATTCAAAGTTGGACCATTCCAAGTTATTTCACTGTCATTGTGAGCAGTTCCCGTCTCACTTTCACAACAAATTTTGGTCTTCTTATTTGCAGATCTTTGTCTAGGATGAGGTCTGTCAAGTAGTTAGAGTGCTCTGAGGTAACAATCTACGATGAACAATTCATATTTGAAAATTTACTGGAAAGGCGTGACCTTTTTCTGTTCAAAAACGGAAACTCGATTTTGACGAGACATACAATCAATTTCCAGTTCGCTTTCAAAGGTGTTCTTCCCATCCTACTTTATTGTTCCCCTGCAATTCCACTCGGCCTTATGAAACAGGGTCTTAAGGCTCTGTGTCTTAATGTGGAAGTTCTAAGTCGCATCCCATAGTTCCATGTAGACGTTTATTTGAGTAAACCCGTTGATCAACTTATTGACTACAGTTTACGCATGGCCTGTGAGGTACTCCAAGACCCTACCAATCCGGTATACACAGGCATTCCGGACCTCTTCACCTTGAATGCATCTGTGAAGAACTGCACAAAACACTATCTTGCTCGGGTTCTGGCCAATGGGGAAAAGAGTAAATTGATTTACATACACGACTCTAGACCAACTGAGTTCTTGTCTGCTTTTTCACCTAACAAAACACATAGGTTTTGATAACAAATATTATGTACCGGAATATTTTAATATTCATGACATCCTGCATATTTTTCATATTTCTTCTATTTTAGAACACAATAATTTAAAAAAATGTACAGTAAGTACATTTTATTGCCATGAAAGTAAAAATACGATAACCTTCCCCAAAATAATATTAAAATTTTTATCGAGAGTATAGCATGAGAGAGAATATGTACTTACTTTGTGGGTTGTATCATATCTGTCCCATATATCTTTGGGTTCCGTGACCGAAAACCAACACAGATTTTATCGTTGGCTGACATCTTTCTAAACTTTCCTCTGAATTAATCGGAAAGAATAACTGAAAGAATAATTGCCGTTTATGTCGTGCCCAAATTACTGGTAAAATTCTGACAGCCGATTTGATCATAAAGTCATGGTGGAAAGGATGTCACCTTATCTACGATAACAACCCGCGTACTTAAGCACGATGTCTGTTAATCTCATATGACTACTAATTGACAGCTAACTGTACGTTTCTCATAGGTTAGCCAAGGTCTCCCGGTAATTCAACCAAGAGTCTTCTCATAGGCTAACATTTTTGATGTATTTCTGATATAAAAAGATATCGATATAATGTGCCAGAGAAAACAGCCAGCCTATTCTTAACTGGCCGTTCGGGACTCGTCCAAAAATATGTTCAGCCATACGGTCACTTGGAAGTCCCTTGCAAATCAATTTATACGTTAACAGTCGAAGCGAAATATGGTCAGTATTGTACACTGTGTTCGAAGTCATAAACCGACTGTGTGTACAAAATTCGAATCGTATTTTCATGATAGGTATACATATATCTCGAATGACCACTTCAAATAAATAGTTCAAGGAGCAAAACAAAACTACCTCATTTTGCCTAGTGAGTAAGCAACACCATTTTGTGAAATCACTTTGTGATTGCAAATGGGAAAAACTATGAGGCAGCCTTGGTAAAAGAAAAAACACATGTTCGGCCAGAAAATTTATTAGGCTTACATTTTGTGATTGTGCATAAACTTGAAGTGAAAACGCGCACAGCATATTTTCGAATAGCTGAATGATTTCCGAGGAGCTACTAAACATCGTAAAAGCTAAACGTTTCTCTCGTAATCATGAAATCTTACATTGGTTGCAAATATTTTCATGCGAACACTTATCGGCACTCCAAAGATCCCGTTTTTCTTCAGTAGGCCATTGTATTCAATATTGAAGCCATTGGAGGCACAACATGAACAACCACCCAGTTTCAATGAGTTCTATTGTTCAAAAGCCTGTTGTTTGCAGATGGGGCGACAAGTACCTGGAGGGAATTCGCGCGAAAATACCAACGAATAAATTGGTGGTTCTGTAACATCATAAACAACTTCTAATCACTTACCAATGAGATGTGCTATACGATGCATCGATGATCAACTCATTGTGACAATAATCTAATAAAATGATGACTTTCAAATTATTCGTTGTGGCTAGTGATGTAGAAGTCGGACCAATTGCTCCGTATGTCACCGGATTTGTTTCGGCGAATCTGGGGACTTTCCGTTTTGTGACCAACTTTACAACTAACTGAATGTGAAACTGTCCAACTTACAATAGATCCCTAGTAACTTCCGTTCATGTGCTACGGTAAAATGTACCATAAGACCGATAAAGAATATGCCTTGATTTCATTTTGTTGGTCATGGATCAGTACAGATAACTAAGAGCAGAATTAGGTAGACGACGTGCACGTTATTGAGTAAGGTTATTTGTTTTTGAGAAA